ATTATAAAAACATTTAATGTGTGTGTGCCAAACTTTTGCTATATAGAGGAAGACAGTGGATGTATTCTTTTTTTTTTTTTTTTAAACAGTATACAACTTTTTTCTGTGGTTGTGTGAAGGATCAGTACACAAAGAGGACTGAGGTAGTTCAAATTGTCTGCTGGTAAGATAACTGGTAGGAGTAGGACTCATTGAGATTACATTGCTGTGTAGTGGCTTTATTTCCTCAGTGAATCGCCCACCCACCCACCAAAAAAAAAAAAAAAAGGTTTCAGGTCAAATGTTGTGTTTGTTTTTTGCTTTGGCTTTTTAAAAAGGAAAACAAGCAAGTACAGTAACTAAGATATTTAGAACACTGATTTTATCAGAAAATTGCTATTTAGAAAACTGAACGAGAACACGATGCTCATTTCTGCCTACAATTCCATCACTGTCTCCCTGCCGGTCTCTAGGGCACTCACCTGGGAAGTGGGAGAACCGTGTGCAATCTCCTCTTTGCTCTGCTTCCAACAGGAACCTGAGTTGGTCTTGCACCATTCGGACTGCTTTTATTTGTAGGTCCTTCCTTTTAGTTTTCATACTTACATTTTTACAGCACATTGTGCCAGCAGTACTCCATCAAATTTTTCAGCTTAACAAAACCTAGCACTGCTACACTAGAGCCTGAAGAGTAGCAGCTTGTTCATTTAAATGTATTTGGCTAATGCACTTTTTGGGATATCACATGACAGCAAGAACTCTGAGGCTTTCTGTTTCATAACTTAGAATTATGATACTGTGATTTAAAGATATCCTAAGTTCCTGGCATTCTGGTATGACTTTAAAGGGCTCCTACAGTATTAGACTGTTCAACATGCAGGACTATCATAGGTTTGCATATAACTTGAAATTCAATTACGTACAGCATTTTAGTAAACAATAAATGTCAAACTTAAGCTTCACTAAATATTCTTTATTTCCCTGGTGAGTGAACATTGGCTAGCAGGTAAATATTTAAATACCTGTAGAACTGTCCAACTAGATATCGCCGTATTAGTTACCACAGAGTTAATAAAGACTAGTAAAAATACTATTTTTTCTGATGTGCACCCTAAGAAATGTTTTCAGTAATGTTCAATTGACTCACATGAGCTATTCTAACAAAATAACATCCAGTTGATCCTTCAAGATGCAGCCTTATGTTCTGATTCAACAAATCACTGGAGACCAGCAAAGCACATTTAATTATTTTGTAAAATTAGGGGGTTGTCTGTGACAGTTTTTATTAGCTAATAATAATAAAAAAACAGGAAATATTAGAATGCTAACACAAACAAATATGAATATAAATACAAGCAAGATGTACATTACTTGATTAAAAAGATTGCATTTTGTTTTCAGAGTAGAACACCACTTTAAAGACACATTTAGAGGGTACTTGAAACAGTTTCTTTCATCGCGTCCAAGGAATGGAGAGGCAGATCCTCTGTTGTTTGTTGACACTGCCAATGCCTTTGATCGGGGATTTCTGAAATGCCCAATGCCTCGATGTTAGGAATGAGCTGAAACTTGTTGAGGAAGTCTGATCTGCACTTCCTGCCCTCTGAAAAATCCAATATTTTTATGCTGTGGTCTGTCAAGCTGAGCCCATGTTCCAGTCTTTTAAGAACCCTGGTCTGTGTGCCCTCTTGCACTGGCAATACTGGCTCATCTACATTTATCTGAGTTAAAATACAGGCTCTTCAGGGCAAGTACCAAGCCTTTTATGTGTTTTGAAAGAGCTGTATATAATTAAGGCACTTTGTATGAAGAAATTACTTCAAAACAGTTTACACAGGGCAGCTATTTCAAGATCAAGCAAAAATTTTTAGCCTGGTTCCCTGAGGAAACAAGGCTTATGACTGGACTGGCTGGCTGTCCCTCCTCCCTTCCATCTAACACCTTTTGAACTTGTTGGACAGTTTAACTTTAGAAGGGGGAGACGTCTCAAAGATAATTAAGTTCCCATGGACTTTATGAAAATCAGTGGCTGGGAAGAGAGAAATCCAAATCCACATATCAAATAATTTTTGCAAGCACAACCCCAAAGCTTGACTGCAAGTGTAATAATGACTGCCAGATCAATAATGTAATCCCAGCTATTTTGGAGGAGTGACAACTGTTATTCATCTAAATACTAATATGCAGAATGGCACCATAATTAATTTCTTTTATTTTGATATTTTACATGTTTTAGTATGGCAAATATAGAATGTTCTCCTCACATTTGCAGCTATTTTGAATTCTCAGAGAAATTAGTTGTACTCATTAGTGTTGTGGTGTTTCTGAATGTTTTCAGAACATTTCATACTTTTGCTTTTTCTCTAGCTAACAATGTTCATTACTCTGTCCTTACGCTTTCGTTATAATTAGTTAGTATGGGCAATACACTCATAGAATCAAGAAATTAGACAGTAATTGGGCCACATTACTCATGATTGTTGTATGTGATATGGAAAATCATAGTTGTTTCTGTTATCACAAAAGCGCTTCAACCATCTGAGCTGTATGAACTCTACATAGAGCTCACTTCTTTAATTGAATGTTTTGGTTCTACTAGTTGAAAGAAGACAGTGAAGCGAGGGAAAAACCACAAGCATCAAATGGTCTCATCTGCAGATTATTCCACTATCTGTAAAAACAACAACAAAAAGTCCCAAGATTCAGGACTGGTATCATCAACTTGAGTGAGAGCCATTATGGGAAGATAAGTGCAGCTGCAGAGACTGGGTTTTAGTGATACATTCACTTACTAGTTCTGTAGCTGGCACTTTTGGCGAGGCTGAGCAAAAACTAAGATTCCAGTTGGACTTTTGTTTGTTTGCAGTGTGATAACGCTAACTATGCACATGGCGTTCCTTATTTCCAGTTTGTCATGTTTTTTGAACATGCAGACAAGCGACACGCTGTCTCACTAGCAGGAAACAGGCTCCATGAATCTCTCCTAGTGCCAAGGCCACATTTCATAATTTGCATTTGGGCCTGTCACCAAAGCAAAATAAGTAACTCACTACTTCTTCACCCAGAGGGGGCGGGTGTTAAAAAAAAAAAAAAAAAAAAAAAAAACTCTATTCCCTAGGATAACAAGCAGGTCGGACAGCCGCTTGGCCATAGGGTGCTTGGCTTGACCTGTCCATCTCTGCCGCCACCGCGCCAGGCCCTCGGAAGCACCACGGCACCAATACCTTAACCTTTCCTGCCTCAGATACTCCACCCCACCTAAGTAATTACACGTTAATTAGAAGAGGGCTAGTTTAGCGGCCATTAAACGTTCAATACTAATTGAGCGCTGGCAGAGAGCGCCGGCATCATTATGCGGCGGAGCCGGTCCCGGGCCGCCGACCCCGGGACGGCGGCGGGTGGGGCCCACCGGGCCCCGGG